ATTCGCAGAGAGCTGTTACAGATTTTGCAGGGAAGCTGGTAGAATACAGCAAGCCAATGAAGTTGCTGGTTAGTGAGAGCGTACGTGTATACTGTTCGTGGTTTTGACTCATACCAGCAAAATTGCTAAATTTCTCTTTAACTGCAGTTTTTCACTGTTATCCTGAGAAGCAGGCAGAGTCCCCGCGTTGCGATTTTAGCCTGTTCTTTGTACTCTTCATTTCCTCTAACTGTGCTGAAATACAGTGTGCCTGTGCACGTTCCGGTTTACTTTCAGGGTCACTTCAGTAAATGAAATCATAAAGTTTTTGGCTGAGCAACCAAAAGTAGCTGAAATTCTAAATGAACATGTCCTTGGGATAGTATTCCCTCAGCAGGTTCGTTGTATTAGCATAAAGGGTGAGCAAGCATAATAAAGTAGTAAAATACATATTCAGCTTGATCTACATTCTGCAGGGTTGGAGCCGGCCAAGTTATATGGCTGTAAAACACCCTGTTGATTTGGTACTTCTTAACTAACGAATAAAATGTCTACAAAGTCACGCTGTGGTTTCTCTATTTTGAAATCACTGGAACTGGAAGAGGTCGCTAGTGAGCCGCGCAGAATATCCTGTCTGGATTGCGATGGAGTTTTCCGGTGCGCTTACCCATTCTGGGCAGATGAAGAGGCAGAAAGGCTGCTTTAAGAGATGTGAAATTTTAAAATTTCCTTTCATTTAATATGCAGTCGCCTGGTATGTTTCTAAAGGCTGACTAATTTTAGTAACAAAATATACCGCGCTTTTTTTCCCCCCCCAAATGCTTGAAACGGAGTCAGCCTGGCTGGTGTTGAAGGTAGCTCGTGTTCGGCTTGCATCACCCGAAGCAGGACGTAAACGGAAGGGTTTACAGTAAGACTGCTCTCGGAGAATTCAGACCCTCGGCTGTTGTGTTTGCTCTGCAGGCTCGGCCGATCTGGGGGTGTGTCTCCATAAATCGTCCAGCGGTTTGGATCTTCCCATGAAGGTGGTAGATATGTTTGGCTGTTGTTTACCTGTGTGTGCAATATATTTTGAATGGTAAGAGCTTGCTTATGCTGATAGAGTTGAAGCGGATCATACAAAACAGTATTCTTACCAAGCAAGAGTTCAGCAGCTTCTGCGTGCATCAAATGAGATCCCAGTACTATGCCATAGTTAACTGGTTTTTTAATTCAATAAGATAAATTAGGACTCAAAGTTGGTTTTTTTTTAAGGTCCGTTAAAAAATTAACACTAGTTTCTGCAAAGTTGGGAGCATTTAATGCAACCAATTGCCTTAAAAGCCTACCCTGTAGTCCTTTGCTTCCATACACCTCATGTTAAGAAAGCTTCCTTCTGCACAGACCTGTCTGTGTTCCGTGAAGGGGTGAGTGCATGCAGTCAGCCGTGCAATTGCCAGTCCTTTGGGGAAAGAGTAGCTTGTATAAATAAAGATAAATTCTTGTGAAGGTCTCGTGAACTGGGTCACGGACAGATTTTCCTTGTATGTTAACTGTAAAGTAGGTGATTGCTCTGATTTGTAACGTATGTCCGGGGGGGGGGAGGGCCCTTTTGTACTGCAGCAGTAGATTTGGAGAGTCTGACGTAGAAGGGAGAAGCAATCTTTAAATTTAAACCTTCAAAGCTGCCGCCTTCATTCCATTTTGTCAGGGATGAAGCTGATCTCCAGACCTCCGGGATCATAACGTTCCAGATAACCCTAGCACGGTCTCTTCAGGTGTCACTGTGCAACTTTTTCAGTGTACGTGTCCCACTTGCTGCTTTTTGTCTCACGTCTTCTTCGGTGACTTTTGTTCACAGCCTGCATGAACTTGTGAAACACGATGAAAATGGCCTCATCTTCAGGGACTCAAATGAACTTGCAGAACAACTGAAGGTAAAGGCTTGACTGATTTTTCTTTCCCACGAGCTATAACTGCAAAGGTGCTGCCGTGTGAGCCGCCTTTTCGTCTCTCTGTTCTGCGTTCTCAGAAGATACTGCTTTGGCGGGTGAATGTTATTGGCCTCGCTTCTGTTTGAATATGAATCTGAAGCCGGCAAGAACGTTTCAGATACTGCCATCAATATTTATAGGGCCAGACCAAAGAGCGCTGTCCTACTGCAGCATTGTAGTCGAGGGTTAACGCTGGGGAGGCTAGAATGAGCCGAAAATGGAATATGGCGGTATTTTTCTGTGTTTTTCCTTTTTAACTTACAGATGCTTTTCTTGGGATTTCCTACGCTGGAAGGCAAACTTCACGACTTCCGAAAAAACCTTCGTGCGTCCCAGCAGCCGTGCTGGGATGAGAGTTGGGACCAGACCGTTCTCCCTTTGCTCGGGCAGAATGAATGACTCTGGGGGGAGGAGGGTGTCAAAAAAGCTGATCCATTCCTGGAGCTGCATGGATGTGATAAATAGCGAATAAACACATGGTATGGTCTACAGTTGCAGTTTTTAACTACTTCATCTTGGAACAGGGTTTGCCCACACCTCTTCCTTTACAGTTGGAGCTCCTCATGTGAGGAAGAAGAGTGCAGCTGAGGCGATTTGTTGCGTGCCGACAGCAAAAGTCGCGCGGGGAGCCGCGGTTCCTGGGCGGAAGAGCTGGGGCCTCGCAGCGGGACTGCCTTCCCCTCCCCGTCCCGGGGTGAAGCTTTACAACGCGCGAGGCAGGTGTCGTTACTGTAGGAACTCGTATGTGCCAGATCTGTTCCCTGTGCTGCTTCAAGGTCGTTTTTTGGTGAAGATACTGGAATACGTGTGTACCCGTAACTCGTACCCGTTACACCTGTGGTACAGCGAGCGCTTCAGCGGGTGATGCCTTTTATTTGAATTGTTTTATCTGAACTGAGGATACAGCAGGGGTTTTATTTTTGTTCAGCCAGTTAATATCCTTGGCTACTCTTCCCTAGACGAGCGGTGAATATCCTCCTGCGTGATTTCATTGAGACACAACCATTTCGTTTCAAAGCCGTTTTCCTTTGTACGGTGTGTGCAGGAACGCGAAAGCGCCGCCCTGGTGTGCAACAGCTTTATTGAGCACTTGGAGGACAGCGGACCTTCCTTGTACGCTGAAGTGAATGTGCCCGTTTACCTTCAGAAAGAGCATAAAATTTATTCCTTTTTGAACAGATGAATAGAAAAGGAAAAAATAACCCCAAAATTAAAGTGTGTATAAGTTAATAGAAGGGCGCTTTGCTTTCCGAGTGCTCGCTCAGGTACAGCCGTCCTCTTTTTATTGTCAGTATCAGTATTCCTATGCAGACCTAATGCTTACAAGGTGCTTTTTTCATCGCCTTTTTGATGATAAAATAATGTCAGTCATTTAAGGAATAAACGTGCTTGGTTTTATCAGGTGGTTACTGCTCTTCAGGGCTCCTGGTTCAGCGGTGGAAGGTGATTACAGTGGGTTCAGCACCAGCATTTTTAAGCCCGCTTACTGAGTAATCGTTTAAGATCTGCTTTTGTCGCGCTGGACGCCATTGGCCCCTCGTGCCTCTCCCCTCTGCACCGGGCTACGGTAGACGCTCTGGTGACAAAAGATTGTGATTTGGTTCCACTGGGGGGAAGGTGAAAACGAGGGTCTGAGTTGCTTACTGCAGGAGTTTGGACTGGTTTACTGCCTGCAGAATGAGCCGTAAAGATTTATTTGCCCTATTTTTTTTCCCCTACTGTTTTCAAGCGAAGTCCTGACCGGTGGTTTGGCCGTTCCCCTTCAGCCACTGATGTGCACACGGAGCTAAATTCGGCGCTGCTCTAATTAAACAGCGATGCCGAAAGCTTTGGAGAGGTTTCATCCTCCTATAATAAATTTTTTAGACCCAAACTGAGCCACCTGTACAGAACTTTGGAGTGACTCGAAGAGGTTTGTGTAAGGGGAGATACAGGAGCTCCTGTTCGGGCTGCTGGCACGCGTTTTCTCCGTAAGTGGTACCTCTGGATCCTTCCTTCGGGGGGAGAGGTGGCTAAAGCCTGGGGTGGGGTTACTTCTGCAGATCCAGCTTACCACTCGCAGTCGTGGCCTCCTTCAGCTTGAGGAATAAGGCGATTCTCCAAGTTACCTATCATCCATTCTCTCCCCGTTACTACGGGAGGAGGCGGCTACAGTATTTGCTCACGTCCTTTTAGGCAGTTTTTAAAACAAGGTACAGAACAGGAGGTCGGGAGGAGGAGCAGCGTGTTTGATTTTCTCCTTCGGGACCATCGCTGTCCCACAGGGAGATGGCGAATGGCTTGCGGCAAGTTGAAAGCAGGTGAGCTCGGTTCCTCCTCCCTGCAGTATGCCCAGAGCACTGCTGGGCAGTACCAGTCTTCTCTTTTCTGGCCAGGCTGGGAGCTTCCCAGCAGCCGGCTGGGAAAGCGACCGTCCCGAGGCGAGAGAAGCATAAATCCAGTTCTGACTCTTGTCATCGCTGCAGAGGGAAGTGGCCCTGATTCACAGCCGAGCCTGTCGCCTCCCCTTACAGCACCGGGCAAGCCTGGGACGCTACGACATTTGCTGTAGGTATTCTCGATTTTTAAGATGACCCATGCTGCGAGTATAGACAGACAAGTATAAAAAAACAGCGTAGACAGTTACAGCTGGTTTTAATGTTAAAAATATTTATTACCATAAAACGCTGTTTTGCTCCCTTGTCGGCATGAGATGCTGATCCTGTGACCCTGCAGCTGGGCCTCCGTTATTTACAAATCAAAACACCATTGGGGGGAAAAAAAAATACAGTTCAGTTCTGTTGTCTTCTACAGAACCGAAGTGCAGTATGATCAGGGCTTGGCTTCTCCTCGTGCTCGAGGCTCACGGATCTTTCCAGGGGCAGCAGCTTGCTCGCAGACATGCCGACAATTGCGGGAAGCAGGTCGCTCACTCTGACAGCAGTCCGCGCGCGCAGCCGTGTCCTCGGCGCCTCTCGCTTACGTTTCTAGAATCCCAGATAATCTTGTTGCCAGGACGAGAGAGCTCCTGTTGGTCTGAAAATTCGAATTGTGTCCTATTTGCCAGGTCTATATGAAGAGCTGTAGAATCATTACGTTTGGCTGCTCGTCATAGAGAAGAATCCTGTTGCTGTGGGCTGGGATAATCTGCCATCCGATCCCAGCTTTATCTGTAAAGAGAAACACTGGGAATCACGTTTCTGCTTAATGAAACGAAGGGCAAAAGTCGCACGTCACGTTCTGCAAGAAGAGATCTTTAGCGTGCCGCTAAAGCAAGCTACAGGCAAATGCTTAGGAGTTCCTATTTTTAAAAACGAACAGGCGGGCTCGTGCTGTTCAGTTTTGTGAACCCCCCGGTCGCTGTGGAGCAGCCGTACAGCTGGTTGGCGGCAAAAGGCAGGCTTTTGAAGAGTATATGAAGAAAAATCCCAAATCCCTCCTGATTTTATTTAATCTCTAGTTGTTTTTTTTTAACCCTCAAAGAACAGTTAAGATAAAGGTTTTAGGCTGCATCTCGAACGTTATCGCTGTGACAGTGCAGCGCAGATGGTTTTCCTCCTTTAAACTTAACCCTGTTTTAGTTTCCTGCTGCCATCACGCTTGCGGCTCATCTCAGGCTGGTGCTGACAGATGCGAGCTGTGATAGATGGGACGTAGCAAAAAGCCAAGTTCCAATCCCCTCCTCAAATCCATGTGGAAAAGCTCCTGCTCTTGGGCAGCCCACTCTTAAATCCAGCTCTAGGATACGAATCTCAGTCCTGGACAATACCCGTCACCAAAAAACGCTCCCGCTCATCTCTACTGCAGATGAAGTAATGGGGAAAGAGGCCCGGGCCGTTGATACGCTTGATGAAAAAGGCACCTACCGAGTTCAGCCCGGAACAGGTGATACGTGCCTGGATTACGAACTGTGAAGGCAATGTAGGCCTCAGGAGGTTTTCTGTCTGCTCTGCAAGCGGAGAGTTTTTGTAGCATACCAATGAGGGCTAAAATGATCTCTGGATCATATACCACATCTGCGCAAAAAGGAAAACATTCAATATTTATTGAGGATTGAGCAGAAAGCAGAATGAAAACTACAAAACAAAAGTATGAAATATTTACCTTACAGGAGAACGATTTTCTTATTGAGGGGTTAAAAGATCCCAAGAAGAGATCTTAAAACATGCCTCTGTTTTACGCGCTATGGCAAGTTGCCCTCATCTCTGATATCGATCCAAAATCACTAAAAATCAGCGTAACTGGATCGGCAGGTATTGTATTTAAGCCCATCTTAAGGGAGACAGCAAAACCACTGAGCACTGGTACTCTCCGTTACAACTGTCCTTAGCAGGACGAAACGGCATTGTTCAAAATCTGTATTTTAGAGGCTGATTGCAAAAGACTTGCTCTGAACCGCAGCAGTTTTCCTCTTGGATAACGTCCTTGAGAGCAGAAATAGCAATACAAGGCAAAACAGCTGACGAAGGGGCGCAAAGCGTCAGCCTCCCTAATCAGCGCCGTGATTCTGAAACGCGCCAGCCGTCTCCAGGACCCATCTTCAAGAGGGGCTGGTTACTAAGGAAGAGGTCGAGGCACAGACCCGTCCCGCTGACAGGTACCGGTCACTCTGGGTGCGGCCTAGGAAGGGAAGGCCCTGCAGCAACAGCAGATACAGACACAAATCGCCTCCAGCTTTGACCTGCCGTGCCTTCCCGAGTCCAGCTGGGGCTGGTCCGTGCGTCCTCTGAACAGTCTGCTTGGCATTAGGTAACATACGCTGACTTCACTTTACCGCATTCAGATACTTAAAAGCGGTGTATTTTGACATTTTTTTCACCTAAATTCTTAAGTAATTTTTGCTTTGCAAAGCCCCAAATCAGGGAGTAAAATCCTGTAGCTACAGCTAAGAAATTTTACTATGGCTAGGTTTTCCATTAATAGATTTTGATAAACTCCCTCCAGATTTATCCATGGGCAAGTTCCAAAAAAGTTACTTCCTTTTAAAATACGCGTCATCCCTCAAGAGAATGCCAAGGCTGCCAGTTGTTGATGAGGCTCTCAAAAGCGGCAGATTTATCATCTTCCGCTTCTGGATTTTAAAAAAAAAACACAGAAGGGAAAAATAATTTACTTTTCTGCCTTACGTAAACAACTGCTGAGTATCTGAAAGAGACAGAATGGTGCAATGAACTGGGAGATCTGTCGTCCGCTTCCAGGTACGGCAGCTGGGGCAGGGCCGGGAATCCCGCGCGCAACCCCCTTGCGTTTCTCTAACCCGCGCATTCTCACGCGGCGTGATCAGAAGCGTAAAGCACCTGCTGCGATGACGACGTCAGGCTGAAGATCCGACAGTTGTTTTTCCGTAACTGAGCCCCAGTCAAGTTCTGCAACAATCAGTTCTGGTTGTGGGGAATTCCTCGCTTCTGCCTCCTGGCCTCGGGACTCCGCTTGGATACGAGGCGTGGTTTCAGGCTCCAAGACAAAGCCGTTCAAGCGGATGTTTTCTGTCAGCTGCCTGAGAACGCGGGGGTGGCAGTCACTAAATACGTATCTCTGGGGATTGCAGGTTTTACAGATTGCAATTCCAGCGAAGCCGATCCCGCTTCCGAGTTCCAAGACTGTCCTGAAGGGCAATGGAGTAAAAGAAGCACTCATTAGGGCTCGCAATTGAGTTAGGAAATCAAAATATTCTAAGTACCTCTAGAGGTACAATCAGTTACAGATGACTTCAATACTTTTTGAGTAAACCATCTACAGTCTAGTCTTTGTTTCAAGTAACTGGGAGAGTTGGTAACCGCTGAAGATGCCATTATAAGCATTAAGTACTTGAAATACTGCTTTTGCATCTGGTACAAAGCATTTCCTCCTCTGGGGTGAGATACGTTCCATCTGGTTTTTGACTTCGGCAGCATGGTTGTCTCTATCCAAGCTGGCTGTCCAGCTCTTTTCGGAGTCGGCGGAGAGAAACAGCCACATCCGCAGCACAGTTCCTCTCCTTGCAAGGTTGGTATTTAAAATTAACTTAGCTGAATCTTTCCTCAAAAGTGCTCGTTCCTCTTGACTGCTTATGAACGAAGTCTAGACGATGAAATGAGATGTGCACACCTGCCCATCCATCATCTAAGGTGAGGTGAGACGAAGCCCATCGTGGAGTGAAGTGCCTTGGTTAAAGTTACCGGCTAGACAGTGTGGTAGCGGAAATGTAACGGCTTACATCATGGAGTGCGTCTGGCTGCATGGTGTAACGGTTTTGATCTTAAAATAACTACGAGGTCTTCTCCTGGATTAAAGTTTGACTGTTGCAGAACAGATGAGAGCAGCAGTTACCCCGTACCACAAGGATGCAGTTGTTTCCATTATTTCATAGAACCACAGGATGCTTTGGGCTGGCAGGGCCCTTTCCAGGCCATCCCGTCCATCCCCCTGCCATGGGCAGGGACAGCTTCAACCACATCAGGGTGCTCAGAGCCCCGTCCAGCCGGGCCTTGAAGGTTTCCAGGGATGGGGCATCTCCCACCGCTCTGGGC